AAGTTCTTTTTCAGAATTATTTAACCCTAAGTTTTGAAAGAATTTAATAATATTAGTTTTATTATTCTGTTTATTCTTACATTGAACTGTTTCAGGTATACTACTAAGAAATAAATATGTTAGAACACCGAGTAGAATTATTGGTATACCTTCGAGCAAAAAAATCCATTGCCAATCTTTTAGATTAGATAGATTTCTTATTTGTGCGATACCATAAGACTAAAATTTGATAAAAAAATTTAAATAGTCAATTTTTTATCATCCTTTTTTTCTTTTATTTTAACATTTAAATATATGACATATAATATATATTAAGTTTTTTCAATCACATTAAATAAATAAAATCTTCAAATTCTTACTATAATTCCTCCAAAAATGCCAGCAGTGATGGCAGCTCCAAAGAAAACCGATATTCTCATAGTTTGTTCTGCTTTTCGATACCATAAAGAAAGATAAATGGTTATACCAGGAAAATAAGCTGCAACAATCATACCCTTCAATAAATATTTTCTTATCTATTATTATTATTATTATTATTATTATTGTATTAATATCACTTACCAGAATAAAACGGAGAACAAGTAATTCTCTAGCATTAGTTACAAAAGCCATACCAATCATAACACTTCCCCATAAAATCATACTTAATGACAAATAACGAGTTGTACCAAGAAAACGTAATAGTAAAAAACTTGGAATTCCAAATATAATCTGTATTATTTATATAAATATAAAAACAAATTGTTAAAATGAATTTAATAATAAGAGAATATATCATAAATCGAAAAAGTCTAGTAGATAATATAATCAATAGACTTTTTCATATCTGATTAATAATAATCACTTACATAGGATATGTAAAATAATGAAATTGACAAACTATCTTCTATTGTCGATAAACCAAGATCATTCTTCAGAGTAGTCAGTCGAGTATGCCCTAAATTAATTTAAACTTGTTAAATTATATCGGAGAATTCTATAAACAATAACCTATTATTATTTGACAACTGAACGAAGATAATTCGAGTAACATAAAGAAAGGAATAAGACGTTTATCGATTTTTCTAATAAGTCGATTAATAGCCCTTTTAACTTGTACAGTTTCTTGATTTTGTTCGATAATTTGCATTGTACCTTCAATAATATACATTCTTGAACAAATAATTAATATTTTCACTTTAAAAATATCTGATTAACTCTTGATAGATTTAAGTAAATATTCTATATTCTTCAAGACTTTATCAATCGACATATATTTAATCATTTATTATTCTACGCATAATAATAGATTTTTATACATTTTCATCAAAATGATTTATTATTTACAATAGAAAAGTATGTTACTGTTCGTTTCAACTTCACTATGCCTTATACAGTATCGTACAAATACTATTAAAATTATTCATAGTCGAAAAAACTTCCCACTAGACTAGAAGTTTTTTTTTTCTTGTTTCCTAATTTAACATTGTCCTTGTCGAGTGAGTAAAGAGAGAACGTTTTATTAGTTAAATAATTACTCCTGTTTCTTCATTGAGTCTTTGATTTCTTTGGAATTCGTTGAAATAAACATAGAACATTTATTTACGCAAGTTAATTAATGTAATAGCATATCAGAATGTGTTGTCTATCAAATATATTTTAGAATTCTTTCTCAGGTAGAAATCGAACATAATTCGATACATAAAAAACTCTTGAAAAATGGTTTAAGAACCTTAATGTTATTTAGAGTTTTTTCGAAAACAAATAATTAGTCGTTTTTCACTCTAAAATACAGAATATAAAAGAAAAAGGCTTCGACATAAGCTCTATTTTAACATGTTATTTCAAATGAAATAATTTAATAAAGAGTTCGAGGGAAGTTTTATCATACCATATGAAATATTTTTGACCCTTGGTAGATGCATCTCTTATAAAAACTTCATGGTATATCGATAGAATTTTCAGCATAACCTTTTCACTACGATCAGATTGAACTTGACTGAAAAATGACTTTGATGAAAGTTAACCTTCATACTGAGTTTCATTAGTCTCTTGTCATACGTAACTTATCTAAGGATAAGAGCATTGTTGGTTTAAGACAGGACAATATTGCTTCAATTCAATTCTCTTCCATCAAGAAGATCTTTTTTGTAAAAATGATACTTTTCTCAATAAAACTTGACTAGAATTTTTTCAGGTCAACGGATCCGAATCTCTATAAAAATTTTTCAAAATCTTGTAAATTCACTTTTTTAGGCCTCATAATCTCAAATTTTTATCTTGTTTGTCTGATTTTCTAGAAAAAAACAATTATTATCGTAATATCGAGAAAATTTCATTGTAATAGTATTAATCTGAAGATAAACATTTATCCACTTTATTTTAAATAAATAATATTTTAAGAGAAAAAAAACTTTTACTTTATATTAATGAATAAGTTGGTGGGGCAGTTGTTCAGTTTTTATTAATATATCAATGGTTAAATAATTAGTTTATTATTAATAGAAATATAATGTAAATAGTCTATTCCATTTTACCAAGTCTCGATATAACAACAGGGACATATCTATCGTCAATGACTAAAAACATGGATTAAGAGGAGAATTTGAACAGATAAACGTAACTGTTAAATAATATGAATGGATTAAGAAAATAGATATATATATATAGTAATATACGTGTAATAGACGGACGGATTGGTATGGATTTAGTGAGATTCCATTATACTTTGTATGATATATTGACTAGGAAAACATTTTTAAAACCAAATGAAAATGATTTTGTATGAACGGTTCGTTTTACGTAGGTTAGAAAAGGACTTTATTTCATTGGAAAAATTCGAAACATTTTTTCAAGTTTTCTATGGAGTCTTTTTTCGTCCATGTACCTTGTTGATAATCATCTTTAAGGCTATTTGAAACCGTTTTAGTAATTCATACATACTTATCAAGGATTTATGAAAGTCTATTCTATAGAAAATCTATCTTAACAGACTAGACTGACCTGAATAGATTACTACCATTCTTGTTAATAATGTTTATCTAGTTACTTAACATCTTCACAAAGTGACTAACTGACATATAACACAAGCTTATATAGAAGAGAGAAAGGAGATGCGGATGAGCACAAAAAAAAACCAATAGACAAAGAATAAAGAAAAAAAATAAAGATCATCGGAAGATAATATTTATATTGTCATAAAATTGTTTAATGATTTATGAATATTATAAATCCATTGATAAACTATATTTATATATCCTCTCTCGAAAGAGTTTCTGAAGATCTCATTAATCGTCACTAATAGCTACCTACAGAGATAATTCAACTTTCATTAACTGTTAAAAACGTTTATTATTCTACGATGTTTTCTTTTATAGTTTATTCTCGCTTGATATGATGATAAAGTGGTATGCATGGTTTTTTACCTGTTTATCCTTTATGTTAATCTATACATTCATTCACAAATATATTAATATTCAAATGATTGGTTTCTTTTTTCTGAATATTTAATGTATAATTTCTTATCAAGTAGAAACAAGAATATATTAGAGTAATGTCATTTAATATCTGCTTGATTATCCAATAATTAGGGGAATGCATGAATTAACTTTAATTAAGTGTTTTTTATAAGTAAAAAAAAAAACGTTGCATGTAAATGTTATTTGACATGTCCGAAATCGAATAAAATGAGAGGATATGTGTATGAGAGAGAATATATTCTGGCCAATAGACAATAAGTAAAATGTTTTGCATTTAACTCAATTCGATTATGTGCGAATTAAAACTGTGGAGTTATATATTGTTTGTTTGAAAAAGTTTGTCGTTTTTGACATGTTTGAATAATAAAAGGATACGATAATGATTATAAGATCATTCGTTTTTAGTGAATAAAAATTAGATAATGCTTTTATTGATCCACTATATTGAGACACAATATCATTTCTGTTCAAGGTTATATAAACAAAATATATGTTTGAAATTGTTCGAGTTCGATAGTGAAATATATTCTGTCTTCTCATATTTAATAAAGTAAACAATAATTAATTAAAAACAAATCAATATTTACATTGTATAGAAAATCCATGATAATCGATTTATTATCTTTAACATTCGAGTTCTAACAGATCATCTTTGTTTTTCAATTGTATAAATATTTTAATTCGATAAATTTATTACTTTCAAACATTTCTTTTTTCCAGAATATAATCTTGTTTTTCTTTTCTTTATTCAACTTAATTTAATATTCATTGTGACTTTTGTCAATAGTGAAAAAAAAAAATTTCTTAATTAGATAATATATTGACTAATTATTTTATTCAATTATATTTATTTGAGTATATATCATTATATTTTATTTATTTATAATTAACATTAAAATATAATCGATTTACTTATATAGAAAATAAAAATATAATCAATATATGTTAATAGAAAAAAACAAAAAAAAAGAATAAATCATTTTTCATCCAATAAATATATTGCATTTTATTTATGATTTGATGACAAAACTATAAATTATTTATAAAAGTGTTGACAATTTTCCTAGTGAAAATTTTTATTATCTTGACGTTTTGATATTGTGTTTTATTGAAATAATATTGTATTAATTAGATTTTGATTCTGTTTATTACTTTAAATAGTCTTAGAAAAATTGTTCGATATATAGATTGATCGAAATAAAATCTTTCGAGAAGATTTTGACTTATCTTATATTAATGATAATAAATGAAAATTAATCTCAGGTAGAATGCTTCTATAAATCCCTAAATTCATCTGACGATGACGATGACGACGGCGATGATGATAATGTTCTTGAGAACCATTCTCTCGCTGATTTCATCAGTTTCATAAATCGTTTTTGTTTTTTTTTATTGATAATAGTTCGAAGGTAAGTAATTATCGATAGGATCTTTATCTTAAATAATAACATTTGAGAATTGTTTCAATATAATATGTTACTCTCTTTCTATAAGACATAATATATCTAAATGAATAAGTATTTCAACTTATTATATTTATTAGAATATTTCTCCGATAACCAATCAATTTATATAAAAAGGTATTCTCGATTATTTATACAATTTGCTTAGAAAAAAACTGAATAAATATAATTATATTTTGTTTTGTTTTGTTGAATAAATAGTCATATTAAATAAAACTGAATCGAAAAACATCATTCAAATGATGTTTTTTAAGATAAAATGTTAATGTATGAATGCATTCATTTTATTTGAATATATTAATAAATAATCAGTCTTAGAATAATAAAATCAAAACAAGTTATTATTTGTTGATAATATATATTTATGTGTTATTCTATAGACTATTGAAAATATATTTTCATTCTAAAATTAATTTAAATGGAAGATTTGCAAGTGATATCGAATAATGATTTTAATCAAGAATATAAATTATGTGTTCTTGGTCAAGGTGCAGTTGGAAAAACTTCACTTGTTAGTTTTTAAAAAAATTATTTTATTATTAAATTAATCTTTTTTTTTCTTATTTTCTTTATTGTTTTAGGCAATAAAATTTGTTGATGGTGTTTTTATTAGTAGATATGATCCAACTATTGAAGATGTTTATAAAAAAGTATTTGTTTTTAATATATTATATTATATTAAGAGAAGATTTGAAAATTCCATTTAGACAATTGAAATCGATGAAAAACAATTTTCTGTAGAAATTCTTGATACAGCTGGAACCGTTTGTTATTAATTAATATTTTTTATTTTAAAAGAAATTTTCTTTTTTTATAATAGGAAATATTTACAGTAATGCGGGATTTATATATAAGAAATAGTAAAGGTTTTGCTATTATTTATTCAATTGCATCTCAATCAACATTTGATCAAGTTCAGCTTTTTTATAATCAAATAATGAATATCAAAGTAAATTTTATTTATTTATTTATTTGTTAGAAACAAACAAAAAAAAAAAAGAACAAAACCATTAATTAAATAAATCTAAATAGAAAGAACAACCAGCATTAGTACTTGTTGGAAATAAAGTTGATTTATCAAAAACGGAGAGAATTGTTCATAGAGAAAAAGGTCAAACATTAGCTGATCAATGGATGTGTCCATTTTATGAAACATCAGCTAAACATTCTATTAATGTTAATCAAGTTAGTTTAATTATAAATATTCGTTTATTCCATAAATATTTATT